TTCATTCAAAGGCCACACGTCCAAGTTCCAATACCTCGTGTCTATCTAAGCAATAAAGACTTGTCAATCCAATAAATAGTGTGAAGAACATAGCCTCGTACACTATATCAGGAAGAACATATTTGCAATCAATTATATATACAGCTAACTCTTTCCGAATTGCATACTTGCATTTCTCAAACCACATAGTGTGTAGTAACTAATTTCGACGTATGCTAAAGGGTAAAATAGGTGAAGAATAGGCATCACAAAAGTACAAAGCAAATCATTACAATGCAATACAATATATATATATATATATAATTTCATACGATAGTTAATATTCAATCAATTAATAGGAAGACACTATATTATTGTACCTCTGTGCGACTTCGCCAGTCACACACCACCGCCAACGAATGCACATAATTGCAAAACGCTTCGGGAAAGTCAGGTCGTAAGCTCAATGCCTAGATATCTATTATTAGATTCCATAGAATATTATATATATTTATACTTTTCGAAAACAAGTGAGCGCTTCTTCCATGCGACCCCCGTCTTTATACGCACTAGCCAAGTTGCTGTACGTGTCTGCAAAACTCGGTTTCAGTCGAATCGCAGTGCTATAGCAAGCAATCGCATCATCTAGCCGGAGTAGATCTAGCCAAGTATATTAAAACCCAATAGTATAGTAGTACCAAGTAAGATGAAAAAGAACTCGAAAAGTCACGTTTTAGTTGATGTTTAAAGTGATTCGAAGACAAATATATATGTAGTTGTCTTTTAATCACTCGAAACATAAATATATATATATATATAAAGTTGTCTTCTAAGCAATATATATATATATATATACAGATTAGATACCCTTGTACGCATTGCCCATATTGCTGTACGCATCTGCAAACGTTGGGTCGATGGTCACCGCTTCTTGAAAATGTGCCAACGCCTGCTCCACTTTGCCTTGCTCCTTCAAGATGCTAGTTGGAGACATGTCATTTTCATATTCGTTTATGACTTCACATTGCTCGATATAGCATCACTGGCATATTTCTTTGGACTACATCAGAAACTTTTGTCCACGCAAACAGTGTGTGTAGTCATCTTAAGACAACACAAGCAACAGTAACTATGTGGGAACATCACTGATTGTTCACTGTAGTAAGTCCAGTCGACTACTTAAACAAGATAATCGTGTGGAATATTCGACTTGTGTGGAATATTCGACTTGGAATTCGTGTATGCCATCAATTAGTGTGGGATGAAGGTTACCAATAAAGGGATGGTATACAAGACTCAACACGAATCGATCATCGATCGCACACAATACTCATAAATTTGAGTACAACACACAATACGTACCTGCCCAAGTTGCAGTGCGCCGCTGCAAACCGAGGCATGAGCCTGGCGGCAGTCATGTAGCAGTGAATCGCCTCCTTGATCATTCCCTTGTCTTTGAGCGCATTGCCCAAGTTATTGTACGCGTGCGGGTGGTCTGGCTTGAGTCGGAGTGCCGTGCGGTAGCAGCTGATCTAACTCCCGATACAATAATAAATGTATCACATAACGACGACGAAACATGCATGATAAGATTGGCAGTAAGCTTACTGATATATATACGTTGGTTTCGCATAACATCGAAATATGTGTATGTAAAGTTTGAATATTTGGCCAATTTTAACTTTCGAAAAATACACCAACAACCAACCACAAAAAAAACGATGTATATCAAACTATTCACGTATATACCGCCTCTAACTGATGGACTTTGCCAAAAGAAGAGTACTTTGTTGTAAAGTATAGCATAACACTGAACCAATATAAATCCGATTTGACAAAGGTGAATACATTAGCAGCACAACACATTGTATCCTTCACGCGTAGCAAGTTCTCTAGAGTTGGACAGTCGAAACAACACACAGCAGCGGGATTGGTGTATAAAAGAAGTAAACCGATATCTGGCTTTGATTACAAGTAAATATATATATATATTTGATAATTTCCGTACTGCTTGCTCCAGCTGTCGAATGTCCCGCAACGCGTTGCCAAGGTTATTGTACGCGTCGGGGAAGTTGGGCTCGAGTTGAATCGCCGTGCGATAAGTAGCAATGGCCAATTCCACTTGGTTCGCGTCAAAATAACTGCTCGCCAAGTTGCCTACCAAATATTAAATCAATTAATCAAATGTATGTTATCCGTATAACCAGCAACTTGTATAAACTTATTGACAAAATTAGATAATGGTTATTCGAAAATTCCCCGAAACCCCAGCAGCAAACAATGACGAAACAAGCATGATGAAGGCACAATCAACTGTCAACATTCCATATCTATACATTGGAGTCAATGACCACCTATTTCCATATATATATATATATATATCTTGCGATCCACAATAACAAATTATTGTACATACTCACGCAGTTCATTCGGTGTCCATAAATCCATGCACACCAAAATATGCCATGACCGTACTACTACTACAACTACTACTACGACCAGCAAGCAAGATCCATATATATGTATATTTATACACAAATTCTCAATAACGACCCAAGTACTGCGTCCTCATATTTCCATATATATATGTATATATATATATATTACCATGCGCAATAGCAAATTCAGGACGCAGAGCGATCGCCGTCTTGTATGCCTCAATCGCAGCACTGGTCTGACCGGACTCTTTGAGCACATTTCCGAGATTGCTGTGCGCGTCTGCAAAGTCGGGCGCCAGTCGAATCGCCTCCTTGTAGTGGTCGATGGCCTTGTCAAGTTGGCCCTCGTCCTTTAGCAGCCCCGCGAGGTTGCTCCAAGCGATCGCAAAAGTCGGCTTGACGCGGATGGCGTTGGTGAAGCATGTCGTGGCATCTTCAAAGAGGCCTTGGGCTTTGTACAAATTGCCCAAGTTACTATGTGCGTCCACCAAGCACGGATCTATGCAGAACGGGTTGAAAAGTGGTATGGATTTGGACACCCGAGCTAACGTTAGTAGAAGTAGTGGCGGTGTGGGACCCAGGTTAATAGACTCGTTCAAAGGAGTGCATGTATATATATATATATATATTGTTTTGACAAATTGGATCATATATCTGTACATTCTGTTGAACGATTCCATCAACACTGTGCCATCTTTTAAATAT